AGAGAGAGAGAAGCATATAGAGACAGAGAGAGAGAGAGAAGGAGATAAAGACAGAGAGAGAGAGAAGGAGAGAAGAGAAGGAGAGAAGGAAAGGAGAGAAGGAGAGAGAGAGAGAGAGAGAGAGAGAGAGAGAGAGAGAGAGAGAGAGAGAGAGAGAGAGAGAGAGAGAGAGAGAGAGAGAGAAGGAGATAGAGACAGAGAGAGAGAAAAGGAGAGAAGGAGAGAAGAGAAGGAGAGAAGGAAAGGAGAGAAGAAGAAGAGAGAGAGAGAAAGAGAGAGAGAGGGAGAGAGAGAGAAAGAGAGAGAGAGAGAGAGAGAGAGAGAGAGAGAGAGAGAGAGAGAGAGAGAGAGAGAGAGAGAGAGAGAGAAGGAGATAGAGAGAGAAGGAGATAGAGAGAGAAGGAGATAGAGAAAGAAGGAGATAGAGAGAGAAGGAAAGAAGGGGCGAAGGAGAGAGAGAGAGAGAGAGAGAGAGAGAGAGAGAGAGAGAGAGAGAGAGAGAGAGAGAGAGAGAGAGAGAGAGAGAGAGAGAGAAGGAGATAGAGAGAGAAGGAGATAGAGAGAGAAGGAGATAGAGAGAGAAGGAGAGAAGGGGCGAAGGAGAGAAGGGGCGGAGAAGAGAGAGAGAGAGAGAGAGAGAGAGAGAGAGAGAGAGAGAGAGAGAGAGAGAGAGAGAGAGAGAGAGAGAGAGAGAGAGAGGTAGGTGGGTACATAGATAGGTAGGCAGGCATCCAGATAAATATATAGGTAGATATACAGATATAAAGACAGATAGATAGAAAAAGAAAAAGCGCGCGCGCGAGAGAGAGAGGGAGAGAGACAGAGAGAGAGAGAGACAGACAGACAAACAAAGATAGAGGGAGATGGATAGATAGAGAAAGAGAGTGAGATAGAAAGAGGCAGGAGCTACAGCATTGCAAAGGCGCTGGTCATGCAACATACCACGACATGCAACCTCTCACCCCGCCATGCACTCTGCAGCTGACCGCTTCCTTTGCCTAGTAACTACTTATTACTGTTTTCTTTTATTTTTATTTTTTTTATCATCTATCTGTTCATTTATGCATTATCTATTTTCTTTGTTTTATTTTATCATCATTTTTTTTTTGCTGCTTCCTCTGTTTGGTTCTGTGGGAAAAATGTACAGTCTGTTTTCAATGTTTTAAAATCATCTTTTTGCATACATGGGTTAACACTTCTATATACACATACTAATGCGAAAACGCATTTAGAAACGTTTGTAAACACACACACACACACACACACATATATATATACATATACATACATACATATATATATATATATATATATATATATATATATATATATATATATATATATATATATATATATACAAGCAAATATATAAACATAAATATACTGTGAAAGGGAACGAGATGGACTAAGATTACCTTCGAAATGACACAAATACATAAAACAAACTAACAAAAAAATACTAGTATTAATACTACTACTACTAATAATAAAAACCAACAATCAAATAGAAGAAACAACAACAACAAATTCTGAAACGGAGACAAAACACCACGGACCGAAATTTGCATAAAACCTCCAGAGAAAACGAGAGTAGACAAAACTTTAAAACAGCGAGGATGCAAATAAACACAGGCATATTTCAAATACCTCGAAATATAACAAAACGTATCGCCAGACTCTTCTTGAAAGCGAAGCGAAGGGCAGAGGCAAGACTGGCTTTGAAGTGGCTTAGCGAGCGAGGTCACGCACCTCGTATAGCGGTTGTTACAAGGGTGAAACACCTGTTGGGGACCTGTTCGTGTGACGTCACAATAGGCCGGCCTCGTGAGTCGGACGTCAGGCTGAGATGGGAGCTTTCGGGACCTGCGGGCGACGGACTTAAAGTTTAAAAGATTGTTTACCTCCGGGTGACGGACTTAAAAAAAATGTTTACCTGCGGGCGACAGACCTAAAATAAAAGATTGTTTACCTCCGGGTGACGGACTTAAAAAAATGTTTACCTGCGGGCGACAGACCTAAAATAAAAGATTGTTTACCTTCGGGTGACGGACTTAAAAAAAAATTGTTTACCTGCGAGCGACAGACCTAAAATAAAAGATTGTTTGCCTTCGGGTGACGGACTTAAGAAAAAATATTATTAACTGCGCGCGGCGAACTTAAAAAAAAAAGTTTACTTTCGGATGACGAACTTAAAAAAAAAATTACTTTCGGATGACGAATTAAAAAAAATATATATCTACCGGCAACACGCTTAAAATGAAAAAGAATTATTTATTGCAGGCGACGGACTTAAAAAAAAAATGTTTATCTGCAGGCGACGGACTTAAGATAAAAAAGAGATTGTTTACTTGCGGTCGCTGATTTAAAAAAACAAAACAAATGCGGACTTAAGGTTAAATAAAGATGGATTTGTTCTCCTGCGAGCGATGTACTTGAAAAAAAAAAATCAATATTGATCATTGCATGTCACTTTCATTATTAGTTGCGCTGTCGTAACTGTTATTGTTGCCATTGTCATAATTACCGTGATTACAGAGACAGAAACTACATTTTCTATTCTTCTGTGAGAGAGATTGCGTATGTGTATATATATATATTTGCACACACACACACACACACACACACACACACACACACACACACACACACACACACACACACACACACACACACACACACACACACACACATATATATATATATATATATATATATATATATATAGAGAGAGAGAGAGAGAGAGAGA